AACTGGCGGTCAGTTTCAGCAGCGGCTGAATCTGGACACCAGTTCCGACTTACATACAGATTCAACTTAAGAACAAACCTACAGTCCCTATCTTGTACGTAACCCGGGGACTGCCTGTACTGAATCCTGTCTTCCAGGTACCCCAGAGAGAATGAACAGAATCAATAACCATCAAGTGATCCCTCACCATGATCCATTCCCAGCTCCTGGCAAACAAAGCTGCTAGTTTTGTTACCCCAAAATAATCCCTCAGAGGCAGCAATATTTCACTGAAAGGCATTCACTTTCCTACCTTATTTGCTCTCACTGCTCTAGATTACCAGAACACAAAGATTTTTAAAAGTTCTTTTTCCTGATTGTTTCCAACAGTAGAAAATAAAAATGCAGGTTTCAATTTGAGGTGCTCAGGGTGACAATGTTTGGTCTGCAAACACTGCAGGGGAAGGTGTTTGAAAACAACTGGTAGAAGCACTGGGAAAGTTTAAAATATGATGTAAAACATTTCCATTGGTCTCTGGATTTTTCTGAAAGCTGATTTTTTTTTTACAGTTAATTTAGAGGAAGGCCGGGACACCTTTAATAAAATGAATAAATGAGACATTGATTTACAACTGTTCCCATTAACGTTAATATGAATTGCATATGTAAATCTACCAGTCATCAGCTGGAGAACAGACTGCTCCCATTTTGCAACTCAGAAATGCAAGACATAATTCCAGGTCCTGGCTATCCATATAACCCTTTTATTTTCATGCACAGATCTGAACAATCATTTTCTGAGAAAAACAACACTGCTGCCTTTCTAGCATTATCTGAACTTCTGAAACCATCACTACTTACTCTGGGAAACTAGAAGAACTACACAGGTGTCTGAGTACCAGGATGGGTAACAGTTAAGTTTCCAACACAAGAAAATTAAAATGCACAGTCTGATGTTCAGATGGATTCTTCTTAAGGGAGAGATGGCTTCTGCTATACATTCAGTTTGCAAAAACTGAGAAAGGTTATATTACTTAGGCATAAAGGGTCTGATCTCTATGCAATGGGAGCATCTCCATTTGTATCAATGGAAGCTAATTCAGATCCTGATTTACTAAGCTGACAACACAAGCACAAGATTTTATTTTTGCTGCAAGAAGTTGCAAAGTGGGGGCCTGATCCTGAGGACACTCACTGGGCACATTGCTTTCCAGACTTTATAGACTTGAAATAGGAAGCAATTTCATCTTGGCTATTGTTTGATCTACAGTTTCCATAAATACACAAATGTCTTTCAGGACCTCTACCTTGCATGGCTGCAAGCAGCTCTCTATCAGTGCAGCTCCTCAAACTGCAGACTACTCCATTTAATCCCCAGCTATGTGCTACCACAGAGCTGGCAGAGCTACTTAACTCCCCCATACAAGAGTCTGGGGTGGATGGACATGTCTGTAAAAACAAAAGGGTGATATTAAGCCTGCATCTGACAGCCCTCTGCCCCTAATACCATAAATCCCACTGCTGGCTTATGCTGTCTGATCCCTCCTCCCCCCTTTTATTCATATTGCAGCTGTTACTTATGCAGTATAATGGAGCCAGTACCTCCAGGCAAAGCAAGTTTAACATCTTCCCATTTAGTGTCATTTTGTCTGTTCTGCTTCCATTTAGCTGATTCAGCTTCTTTAACAACACTGGCCCTTTGATTCCTGTCACACGGGGGAAATTATTTCAGTTGCACAGGCAGAGCTATTTTTAAAAGAATGTCTAGCAAGACCACTTACACCCCCCACCCTCAGAAAGTCAGGAGATGAAATACTAACGTCATCTTGAAGGTAAGCATCTAATCCACACCCTCACTCCAACTAAAGGCCTGAGAAAAGCACTTGTTAATGTGAAATACATTTATGGTACTTTGGTCCACTTATACCCCACTGACTTGTGTTACATCACAGAATGACACTAAGAGTAGCTCTTTCAAACTTTAGCCTGAACTGTACACGGTACAATGTTTATACAGCAAAGCTCTGGCAAAACTGGTGTGAAATAGGAAAACATTTAATTTCAGGGGAGTAGTTAACTCAAATAACTTGCCATAGTCTGAAAGTAACGGCCAGCTCCTGTGAAGTCTATACCAGGGCTACCAATGTGTGCATCTTGCCCCACCAATGCCTGTAACACACATCTCCACAACACAAGAGTGCAACGACCACTTACATTTAGATCTGAATCATGCAAGTCGTAGCATTGGGCACCCATGCCCCTCATCTTTCTGCAGCAGCTTTTTAAGTCATTCCCCTCTGACAGGAAGGCTGGGTTTAAAAAGTACAAGCCAGCAAAGAAATTACTCTGTATCTTCACCGGCAACATCCCTCACGCTTCACTAAGCAGTCTCTCCACAATGCTGAGAGTTAAGTCCAAGGAGTCCTGCAAAGGCTAATAGCGAATTGGGCAAAGCCTGGAGCTGGAGAGCTTGGGGCAAGGGGACAAGCCGGAGAGTCTCACTGCTTTCCCGGGGCCACCTCTTACATTTGCCACTTCCAGCGTGTGACCTGTGCAACGGTCCCGTGCCCAAAACCTGTCACCACGAAACCGAGGGCTGACCCTGCCAGCTCAGCATAGCCCAGTGAGCTCTGTGTGACAAGGGCACCAGCTGCATGGTCCTGTGCTCCCCGCCGCTTCTGCTACCCAAGGGACGGGAGCTGCACACCCTGGGCACCCCAAAAGGCCCCTCAAGCAGTGGGCAA